TAAAAGTTGAAAATTAAAAGCTGCAACTTTGTTGTATTTTTTTTTTTACTTAATAAACACCGGGGTTTTTTGTGGATTTCCCTAAAATGGAAAATCCCTGTGTAGTGTACTTTCAGTTTTAATAGTGATGAAATGGGAATGTTGTACCGCAGTATTAGCGCCCTCCTGTGGACATTATGAACAGACGCGGGGGTATGGTGATTAGTGATTACTGCAGATCAATAACACACAGTGGTCTGTTTATCTCCACTGATGTTCCGATTCTGACGGTGATTTACAGTAATCGACTGTCAGTTCATCACTGCTCTACTGTAAACACATGACGCTTTCATTACACCTAAAGAAAATATTTTTAATGTATTTTTTTTAAGTTCCGTGTTATTTATTTTTATTCGGCTATTGAAACAACCTGTTACTGTAATCTCCTGTTATCTCTGTAAAGCTGCTTTGAAACATCTAATGTTAAAGCGCTGAGTTAATGACGGTGAAATTGACTTGACTTTTGTGATCTTTGTTCAATAAATCATTTATTTTTAAAACAAACAATGCGCTTAGGGCGGGGGCGGTCCTTCCCGTCAGAGCTACGCCCATCGAGCGGAGCCACGCCCACACGCGCCTCTCATGAGCCTGTGTATGATCAGCGCGCGCGTCACTCGCGCACTCGCTCGCAACAGCGCGTGTGTCGCGGCTCAGGGTATCGTGTGTGATATGGACGGCGGCGGGTGTGCACGGGCTCCGGGAGATTCTCCCGCGAAGCGTCAGGCGGTGAAGAGACACCATCACAAACACAACATCAAACACCGCTACGAGTTCCTGCAGAGCCTCGGGAACGGCACGTACGGGCGCGTGAAGAGAGCCGTGGACCGCTCCGGGAGAATGGTGAGAAACATCGCGAGATTACATATTCATCAACACACTGCTTTAATATTAATGATATCTCAAGAAATAAAGAGTAACAACCGGCGATTTAGTATCATCGATGTGATTTTTATTATTATTTATTAATAACAGTGTTAGAATAGACAAGAGTATATATATCTTTAACAGTGTTGGGAGTAACGCATTACAAAAGTAATACATTACAGTAACATATTACTTTTTGCTGTAACGCAGTAGTGTAAGGCATTACTAATCAATTTTCAGTAATATTTTACTCGTTACATGTTCAGTCAGGCTTGTATTACAGTTGTATTACAGTGTATTTTACTTCTTAAAGGCAACAGACTATGTGAAAGTTTTAAAGCAGTCTTTTTGTGCCAGTTCAGAGCGGTCGCGTCTTTAACATTGTTTTTTCCTCATAAATGCGAACACGAAAACTCAAATGCCAACCCCTCCTCATCCGATTTGCGCAGTGTAATTAACAGAATTACAAAAAATATATTTTGCCTCCTATTTTTTTTTGTCACGCATGAATGTGTGTCTTTTCCCTAATATTAAACATAAAACATAGACTGATATTTGTCTAATGTCTGGAGTCCTTTAAGGAAGTAGCCTATATACGTTTCAATATATGTATTTTCTGAGAATTTTTATTTCAAGTTTTGACTGCAAATGTCATGTCCATAATGCTGGACTTCCCCAATTTTAAATAATTTATCCTCAACTAGTTTTGTGGTGTAGGTCTACGTATTTTATAATGTTAACTTCAAATAATACTAATAGCCTAATTTAAAGATAAGGCAGCATTGGATCTGGACGGTAAGGAGAATAACGCTGGAGTTGGAAGAGGTGTGTCGCGATTCTGTAGGTTCGTGGATCTGAGTCGTGTGGCGAATCGCGATTTCGGTTTCATATTGCATATCGTTACAGCCCCAAAGTTAAGTACTACGTAGTTATTTTGGTGAAAGTAACTCAAAAGTAATACATGAGTAATGTAACGCATTACAATTCTGGGACAGTAATATTGTAAGGTAATGAATTACTTTTAAATAACAGTAACAAGTAATACCTAATGTATTACAGTTTGGAAGTAACTTGCACAACACTGATCTTTAACTGTGCTATTATTTATTAATAATATTATGATACATCAAATGTAAGAGCATTTTTCTAACTATGGTATTTTTTTTATTTACAAATAATATTATAATATCATCATTAATATTAAATCACTGGGAGAAGTCGTATTATTTCATTGGTTATATGTACGACTGATTTTCAATACTCATTATATTATTATAAATAACTCGTGAATAATACAATAACACCAACACATAAATAGATTCAATTAATAATTCAAGTAATTTATTAGTCATGACTTGCTGTATTTAAGAATAATATTATAATATCATTAATATTAAATGACTGGGAGATATCTGATATTTTATTGTTGTTGTTTTGACTATTTGACCATGAATTATGTTAATAATAATAATAGTAGAACACCTTGATCTATAGAGTAAAGGCTGATTGATGTTGAGGATGGTGTTGTTTGTAAAGCCTCGGCAAACAGGTTTACTGTGTGTGTCCGTCCGGTTCTCGCTCGCCCGCGGCTCCATCACACACACACACACACACACATTCCTCTCAATCTGGGGTCAGACGTGCCTCTCCCTGACCTCTGACCCCGGCGCATGACCCATCTCTGAGAGGCTGCTGTGTTTGTCAGGACGAGCTCCTGCAGGAAGTGATGTCACGTCTGCTTGTCGAGAGAAACCCATCGTGTGCACACTGTTGCTGTACTTAAATTTAACGCAATCATTTCAACTTAAATCATTGATCATATAATTATTAAAACAAGAACATTTATATGAGAATAAAGCCTTGGTAAAATAATTCCGTTTTCTGGAAAGATATTTGCGGTAAAGTGTGTTTTCTTACTTTAGAGGCACGAAACAAAATATTATATGATTTATATGCTGTAAAAATGACATTTAAGAAATTTAAACATAATATATTATTTAAGTTAAAATGACTTATACAGCCAATTTAATTATTTTTAAACATAGTTTTAGATGGAAAACTATTTTTGCTATGAAAACACATCTTATTATCTCAGGCTTATTATCAAATAATAATTATTTACATGTTTTTGAACATGAACATTCTGTTGTCAAGCACAAACCGCACTAACTTAAATATTGAATTATTTTAACATTTGATTTAGGCTAATAAATAAAATGAGATGAACTATTTATAATAAGTTTTACTCTTAGTAACTATTCTGATAATTATTCTCTGAGAGCAAATCTTAATATCTCAAGCAGTTTTTCTTCCCATATATATAGATATAATTTTGAATAATAATAATAATTATTATTATTATTGAAAATCGAAAAATAAACCAAAGTTCCCCGGCCAGAATCCCAGACGCTGCGCTCACTCCCCCGAGGGCTCGAGTGTCAGGAAGGACATGATGACATGATTCTCAGGAAAGAGAGAGAGTTAGTGTGGGCGAGTCGAGACAGGTCTTTCTCAGCACTGATAACAGACTCGCTGATGCTAGCGATAACACGCCCGACGGCTCAGGCTATTTATAGAGCTTCCCTGAAACACTGATGGTTAATCAGAAATCATGGCGTCTTTGTTCAGGGGATACAGGAGCTGCGAAACCACGTTTATCATGACCGAGGCCTCAGAAAACCTTTCTAGAACAATCCAGTTAAGAAAACGTTCATTCTGAATATTCTCGGAACGTTACATTAGAATGTTCTCAGAATGTTACTTTAGTGTTCTCGGAACGTTACTTTTGAATGTTCTCGGAGGGTTACATTAGATTCTTCTCGGAACTTTACTTTAGAATGTTATCGGAGCGTTACTTTTGAATGTTCTCGGAACGTTACTTTTGAATGTTATCGGAACGTTACTTTTGAATGTTATCGAAGCGTTACTTTTGAATGTTATCGGAACGTTACATTAGAGTGTTCTCGGAGCGTTACTTTTGAATGTTATCGGAACGTTACTTTTGAATGTTATCGGAGCGTTACTTTAGAATGTTCTCGGAGCGTTACTTTTGAATGTTCTCGAAGCGTTACTTTTGAATGTTATCGGAACGTTACTTTTGAATGTTATCGGAGCGTTACTTTTGAATGTTATCGGAACGTTACTTTTGAATGTTATCGGAACGTTACTTTTGAATATTATCAGAACGTTACTTTTGAATATTATCGGAACGTTACTTTTGAATGTTATCGGAGCGTTACTTTTGAATATTATCGGAACGTTACTTTTGAATATTATCGGAGCGTTACTTTTGAATATTATCGGAACGTTACTTTTGAATATTATCGGAACGTTACTTTTGAATATTATCGGAGCGTTACTTTTGAATATTATCGGAACGTTACTTTTGAATGTTATCGGAACGTTACTTTTGAATGTTATCGGA